TTACATAAATGGCTGTGGCAGCTGTCATACCTCTGTGGCTGGATGCTTTTCAGTTAAATTCAGCTGCAATGCTATATTTTTCATCCGCAGCCTCTGAAGGTTGCTTTTCTCCTCCTAATGAGCACATCTGTCTGTGCCTGAGAGTTATTGCAATGTCATGGAATCCTAGAGGTTGGAAAAGACCACTAAGATTATCTAATCCAACCATGCCATAGAGCTGGTGCCATCATGGTAAATGTACAGACAGCACAGCAGTGAAAACCTTTACACGTGTAGCAATAATTCTCTGAATTCAGGCTGATCCTTGGGAGACACTGTGGATGGAAACACTGCTCAGGGAAGTGAGGGAGTCTTGGGAGGTGCTCCTGAAAGGTGGAGAAGTGGCACTGAGGGACGTGGCCATTGGGCAGGGTGGGATGGGTTGGGGTTGGACCTGGGGATCTTAGTAGTATTTTCCAACCTTAACGATTCTGTGATAAAACCTGGCTTTAAAAAATAGATCATGTTCTACTCTTAAAATGGTGTCAAAATCAACACAAAACGCTAGACTAATGGTGAATATAGCACATGAGTTATTTTTTATTCTTCGGATGTGAATACTGGGAGGTCCATAACTACCTGCACACCCTGGGTCTGTTTGCTGTGATGTTTGGGGTGTGCTTATTCATAAAGAAAACGCTGCACTGAAATGGTAAGCTCTCAGATTTGCCTTTAATCATATGTTTTTCATTTTTTCCATGTCCAGGACAACTTTATCAGCCAATTAAAGAGTGGAAATGCTGCCACGTGGCTTCCAAAACCCGCATGTAACCATGAGTAATGTGGAACGAATAGTCTGCTGTAACTGCCCAAATATGCCTAGTCTGACCTGTGTGGTCAGCTCTAAGGGAAATCCTCCATAAAAAGTCCCTTAGCAGCCCCCGAAAGTTAGACCAGGAATGGTCTGTAACCGAAAGGAGATGGACTGGCACTGTATAAAACCCACCCAAAGGCAGAAATCTCCAAACTCTTCACATACAAAGATAAAATTCCATATGCTGGAGGCTTTCTGTTTGTGGCATGTTTTCCAAAACAAGAAACAAATACAACGTGAAAATTTCCTTTTTTGCTCCATCTGCAAGTCCACAAAGATGATGTTCCACCCACAGACAAGGGCAGAGTCTGCCACAGCTCTGCAAGGAAACACCAATCTGAAAGCCTTCAACTCTTGAACTTCTCTCTTCTCTTGCTGTACAATCCTGGGCAAATCTTTGTGCCTCTCTCTGTTGCTTCATCTCTGAAACAGGTGTAATGACACTTGGCAGCATTACTGGGAGGGTTAATTGGTGTTTGTATAAAGCTTTGGTGATGTAAGCTGCCATGTAAGCATGATGATGACTATTGCTTTGATACTGCTTGTTAATTGCAACAGGATGGGTAGTAGTCATGCTGTAGCATTTAAACATGTTTTTAAGACATATTCCTAGATCTCACCTGATACTTTAACATGGTCCACACTACTCCTGCATTAGACAAACAGAATTCTTCGTGCATTTAACAACCCTGCAGGTATTTTCCATGGGAACTCCACGCAATAGACCCCACATCTTTGGGCCTTTAGCTTCCAGCCTCATAGAACGAGCTCCTTGCAACACACACTGCTTAACATAACAGACTTTCTTACCACTTCATCAGCATAAGAGGATAAGATCCAGAGATTATTTTCACTTCTGGATCCATTTGTAGCACAGAGGTCTACAGATAAAGAACAGAAGTGAATGTACACCAGAAAGGCTTTCTCCTTTACTTAATGTTTTTTTTCCCTTCAAATTCCCTCTTCCTTCTGACAGAACACATTCATTCCCTCATCACACAAGGACACAGTGAGGCCAATGATGTAAGTAATGCATTTTTTATTACTTTATTTTGAGAGGTGTCTTAACATAAAACACCCCAATTCTCCTCTCCACCTCTGGCACTTCTCAGTGGAGTCTTCCAGAAGGTTTTGGCAGCAAACATGAGCAGCCTGAACATCGACTTTGACTTGATAGTCAAAGCAACAATTACCTGTGAAACTGCATTCAAGACATCTCTGCTTCCCATGCCCTGCTTTGCCCCTGCAGCTAGCTTTGTTCTTTGCTCAAGAATGCCATCTGCTATATATCTGTTACACATTAAATACAATATTGGAGTACAAATAGAGTAAGACTGTACTTTCTTGCTGTTGTGATGAACAAGGGCAGGCTCACTTTAATCTGTCACAGACTTCAGAATGCCCCCCCAGCACCCCTCAAGGGAAGATTCCCTGGGACACGTCATGAATATTCAGTGTAAACTGAGAGATGGGATGCCGTGCTGTTATTCTGGATGCTATTGGAAATCATGCTGCCTTCCTGTCTTATTTCTGATAATCTCCTACATATATTTATTTTTCAAGTTATTCGGAGTCTGTGCTGGCAGACATAAATCCTGAAGTCATCTAGGTGTTGCTTAGTGACCTCTATAGGGCAGAAAACATTTCATCACTGAAAGGCTCAGCTGTGCTGGGGGCAATACCTGTAGGTCATGCAGAGGAATATTGGCTGAAAGAAATGAGCAAATCAGACCATCCAGTGAGGCTCATTTTGTGTCTCACCGAAGGCAAACAAATTGCTGCTCTATTCAGCCTCAATCTGACTGCAGGACTAAATTGTCATTTTAAAGAGGGAAGAAAAAAGAAATGTTTAGACACAAAAACGTGCTTTGAACTTCCAAATGATCTCCGTGAAGAATGATTAACTGTAAGGATTACCTTTCTTTAATGGGATTTCAACAGCAACAAAACCACAGCCTTTATAATGGCTTCTGAAGGCATACATCCATCTGGCAAAGTAATAGCTTAATAACATTCTAATACCAGGCATGCTGCACTTTGGATATAAAAGGCAATCATACAAATGTCAAATGCGGAAGCAGTGAAAGGCTCTGAGTGAAAGTGATGAACAACAAAGAGAAACTGGTATGTCATAGCTCATCTCTTGGTGATGTCATTAGGCCACTCATGGCCACTGATAGCCGTGTGCCAATTATCCTTCGGGAAGCACAGGATGGAAAGGTGAATGGGAGCAGAATCCTGGTGATGGAGTTCGTTATCTAGTATCAGGGGAATAAACCAGGAAGAGGAGTGACCTTTACTCCTTCTGACTCAGAAACAGGCTGGAATTAATTTGTAAGTACTAATGGCTTCACGTCAATCATCACAAAGGAGGTCATCCTGTCCTTCACCAGGCAGGAGAGGAAATAAAAAGGAAGAAAAAAAAAAAAAAAGCTCTGGGTTCAGCAGGTTTATTGAGGATTCCACCTGTGGTGCTCAGGCTAAATTGCCTGTCCTTTTATTTGGGTCACCCGAGGCCAGCGATTGCCTGCTGCCCCTCCAATTTAGTCTGTAGAAAATGGAGTAAAACCCAACAGAAGTATGATGCCTGGAAATATTCACCTGACCTATAAATGAACAACATTGATCATTATCATAGCAGCAGTGATGATGGAAAACACGGATTATGATTCATGTTTGGCATGTGCTGCTGCAGAACCTTTAAGCCAGAGAGCTCGAAATGGGTGACGCTCACCAAATGATTAAGCACACATGCTTCAACTGAAGGCAGATAAATAATATTTGCCTTCCTCTGAGCAGAAAATCGGAGCTTCAAAGCAACAGAATGATTGCTTCGTGATCAACAACAAATCAGTGAGACTTGGGAAGCATCACAGCCCTTATGTGCAGCTTGAGATAATGATCCAGGTTGAAGTTGTTTAGGAACAAGTTATCAGTTCCCTATCAAAACAAAATGATGGGGAGCAGTTTCCTAGGAAATCAAAAGGGTCTGGCTTCTTCAAAATGGCATAATCTACTGGATAACAATGCACTGTACTTCTGTAACACTGTTAAGCAAACATGTGCTATGGTGACAAAACATCCAGCTGAGGGAGGTTACTCATTTTTAAGTGAGGAATTGCCTCTAGATGAAATGTATAGGACAACTTCATTCAGTAAATGCCAGTGTGTTTGTTAGAGCATTAAGACCCCTCAGATGGGGAAAGAAACACCTGTCAATGAAATGGAAGCACATTTAGATGGAAGGCAGCAAGGTGTTTTGATACAAATGGCATTCATTGGTCATAGGCAGGCCTGGAAGGGAGGCATCTCACACGCACTTGAAATTAGCAGGGAATTCAGGAAGGCAGAATATAATTACTCAAACGGAACCTGGCCAAGAAGTTTGTGTTAACATCCTGTACTCTTACACAAGGATCTGTGAAGGAACCTTGGTCAGGGATATCTCTAGGTCTGAATGCACACTCAGACGGTGAGGAATGGGATCAGTCAGTGTATCGTAACCAAAGCAACCCTGAGTGATTTAGTTCCTATCACAGCCCCCATGTGTACATGGGGAGCTGCAGCTGATGGAGTGTGAAACCACTTCAGATTGAAAATATTTTCCTGCCTTTAATAGGGTTCAGATTTTCAATTTTCTTTTGTGAAATCAAAAGAAGGAAAAATACTTGTAAAAGTTTTGCTTTTCCTTGAATGAAGACAGACACTTTTAAAAGGCAAGAATAAACACAGTTCAGCAACATTCACTGCCGCTCAAACAGCACGAAACCCAAACTCTGAAGCCCTCCAGTGTCCAGGTACAGATTTCACACAGTGTAAATGAGAAGCACAGTGCTTTTCCTTCCGGCTGCTGACAAACCACCCAGGGAACGAAGCACGACAGCGCTGCGCCGCTCCAGCAGCGGAAAGAACAAAAAGCTGCAATACGTCCGCAAGCTCCTGCTGCCCTCCATCGGACACACAGGGGAAGCGCCCGCTGCAGAGCGCACAGCGGAAGTCAGCTGACCCGGAAGTCAGCTGACCAGGAAGTACGCACGCCGGAAGTGGAGATGCTATTTCCGGAAGCAGACGGCAGCACTGCGCCGGCTCCGCCTCGCCGGGCCGCCATCTTGGTTGGAAGCAGCGGTCGCGCCGTAGCGGGAGGTGCTGGGGTCTCGGCCCTGCCCTGCCCTGCCCGGCTCAGTCCGGCCCGCTGTCAGTTCTCGGCGCTCCTTCTCTTTCTGCTTCCCTTGCTTGGCCGCTGGCTGCGGGCCGGTGGAGCGACCCGGCGGTGGAGGGGCTTGCTTTAGCAGGGAGAGGTGAGTGGGGCCTGCAGGTCGAGCTCGGGGAGCGGGGGCTTCCCATCTTCCGCCTCGAGGAACCCGGAGCCGGGCTGAGGGCAGGCCTGCGTGTCGCCGTTTGCTTTCTTGTCCGTTCTCCTGGGAGCTGCCGTGCCGTACTTGGGTTGCTGGGATCGAAAGGCCTTGGTTTAGTTCCTCGTCCGCCCTGCCTGTGTTGTATTGATGGGGAAATCGATGTCCTGGGGTAGCTTCTGTAAGCGTTCTTCGGTGTTTAAAATGCGAAGGATCTCTCGGATAAGGCTCCAAGGGGTGTAGGAACCCCAATAGGTGTACGTTAGTCTGGATGATTTCAGTCTATTTTTGCTAACTGTGGTGAAGGGCGCTGTTACAAAGCTCCCTTTTTTGTTCTAAATTAAAAGGCGTGATTTAATCTCGGCTTTAAATTCAAAGCTGACTTCTGTAGAATTTTTTTTGGTGGGTATTTAAAGAGATGTATTTAAAAAAGGGCTATTTCGTTCAGGAAACAATACTGTATATTAGAGTGATTTACAGTACTTTTAAGGAAAACCAGGTTAAGAGTGTTTATTTTGGGGAGGATTTTTTTGTAGTTGTTGTTAGTGGTATAAATATTCTCTAGAAATATACTTCACTGAGTGTATTGAATTGAATAGAAAGCTATAAGGCATTTTCTGGTGTCCAACCCTGCTATCACACGTGAAAATTATCTTAGATCTTTATAGAAAGCGTTTATAAAACCTTTCCAGTTTTTCCCCTGAATTTCTAGAGCCCTGAAAGAAACTGAGTTGCTAAGTAACTTGTTGTGCTTCTGTGAGGGAAAGAGAGCTAAGTAGCATTTGCTAATCGATGTCTGCTCTGTAGATGCATTGCAAAGGCTGATACATTCTTTGTCTTGAAAACAGCGTGGATTTTCCATTGTTCACACTGAATTGCCTCTTTTTGGATGAAGTTCTTCCTTTGGAAGGGAATAATCTGGCTCAGAAGATCTCATAAGCTTAACTGAACCCTAAGCAGGCAGCAGATTGAACTTAAAATTCCTCCTCCCCGAAGTCAGTAATACAATGACTGTATTATTTTTTCTTTGCTTGTGATAGAAAGAGTAAATGAATTTAAATCACAGGCAGATTTGCACCGTGGATATTGTAACTAATTTGGGAAATGAATTATTGAAAAGGACTGAGCCCTTTAAAACGTTATGGCTGTGATTTGTGCCCAGCCTAAACCCAGGAATGGCTGTTAACAGTTCAAATAGGTTCTGTAGTGCAGTTCATTTTCATGATAGCAATTCTGTGCACATACATCCACAGCAGTATTCTGGAAGGGGTGTTTTTTTCCCATTTGGGTGATGTACAGCTTCTCTTGGGAGTGTGTTGGTTAAAACTGCGTGTGATTCTTGCTGCTTAAAGGCGATGGTGACTGTTTTTAAAAAGATGCTGTGACTGGTAGATGTAGGAGCTGTATTCAAGAAAGCATCACAGCCCTACACCTGCTGAGATTGTATTTGTATATATTTTTTGAAAACCAGATGAGCAGCAGCAGTAATAAGAGAGCACCAACGACAGCAACACAGAGACTTAAACAAGACTACCTTCGAATTAAGAAAGATCCAGTGCCTTATATCTGTGCAGAACCCCTCCCATCTAATATCCTTGAATGGTAAGACTTAGAACGAGCTGTTTGTGCACTTGTGGAGAGAACAAGACTTTCCTGGTCATCAGGTCTGACTCCTTCACCCCCTATGAATTGTAGGGGAGCCTTGGTTTTGGGAGGTGGCATATGGAACTTCTTGAAGTGATGCTAGTCTTCTTTCTTTCTAGAGAAGTTGATGGCTCATGGTGTGAAGGCTCTCACACTGTTTGTGTTTTCTCCTTTGTCTTAGGCACTATGTTGTCCGGGGACCTGAAACAACTCCTTATGAAGGTAAAGGCACGAAGCAAAAGTGGGCATTGGTTGGCATGTCTCAGTAATTGCATGGCTGATTGAATGGGCAAAGCACAGCTGTGGTCAATAGCCCTGAGAACCTTGAGTGCAGTTGCAAAGCAGCCTGTGACTGGTATGGTAGCTTATGGAAAAGAGTGAGGGGTGCAACTGTCTGTTAATCTTTCTCTTTGTATGATAGTGAAACCACATTTGTTACATTTTCTATTAAGTAACTTAGGGAACTCGTTTTAGGACAGTCAAAATAACTTCATAAAACCTCTTTTTCCAAATATTTCATCCCTTAGGGTGTTGTTTTTTTTTTTAGGATGGTTTGCTTATGCCTTACTGCATGAGCATCTCTCACTGAACTGAGAGCTGTATTGTCTTCATGAAGTTCCTTGGAGAATCCAAGGACCAGAAAAAGCTGTGTTAATGTTGTGTGCTTCGTTGTTCAGGGTGTCTTCTGGAGCCTTTCACAAAATGCTTTTGAAGTTCAGGTTCTTCAGAGATCTCCATTTGCAGTTAATTGTGTTTGTGATACTCTGAAGCATCGGTGTTGTGTTAAATATGCTTTGGCTGATGTTCCTTGAATGTATGGCAGGCTAGAAAACAGAAAAGAGTGTTTGTAATAGAGATGTAATTGTCTCCAGAGTGAATGTGCTGCAGCTGGGGGTTGTTTCAGAGGCACAAAATGATGTGCTTCATCCCTCTAGTGTGAGGAAGAGAGGGAAACAAATACAGGGTTTTATTTAGCCCAATCTGAATACCTTTAGGTCTTCATCTTAATGCAAAATAAGTAATTCATCTCTTTGTGTAATGCAGGTGGCTATTATCATGGGAAACTAATATTCCCCAGAGAATTTCCTTTTAAACCTCCTAGTATTTATATGATTACACCTAATGGAAGGTTTAAGTGTAATACAAGGTAAGGATTTTCTTCTAACACTTAAAGCAATAAACACCGCTTTTGCAATATGTGAAGCACGCAGTGGTTTTAACCACAAAAATAAAATGCCTTTTTGTCTTATCTTTTTAGGTTATGTCTTTCAATCACTGATTTCCACCCTGATACATGGAATCCAGCTTGGTCAGTCTCAACCATCCTGACAGGCCTCCTTAGTTTCATGGTGGAAAAGGGTCCCACCCTGGGCAGCATAGAGACTTCAGAGTTTGCAGTAAGTTCCACCTTGTAGCTTTTGGGCTACTTTCAGTTTAGGGGTTGCTGAATGTGACCTCTAGGCTAAAACAACAGTGAGAGCTGATGTTTTGATATCTTATCTACTGCATGTGATGGCAGGGTGAATCCAAGCAGTTTTAGGCAGCGTGGGGACAGGGAGGATTTCTAAGTACAATTTGAAATGCTTTTTTGCTAAACTGCATGCTTAGGACTTTTGGTGCTTGTGGTGGCAGGGATGTCACTGCAGCTCACCAAGGCCATAAGAAGAAGAATCAGGAGCAGAGGTTGAGTTTAGAAATGCCTAATGATAATATTGATGGGTATGCAGTTGCAAGTGGTGTAAACTATCTAACTAGTTTCTCCCATTTGTGTGGAAAGGAACCAGGTGCAGTGTTTGAGCTGTATTTGTTTTGTTCCTGTGCTCATAATTCTTCTTTCCTTCACAGAAACGACAACTTGCTGCACAAAGCTTAGCATTCAATTTAAAAGATAAAGTCTTCTGTGAGCTCTTCCCTGAAGTGGTGGAGGTAGGGGCATTCAATTCATGGAGTAACTGGTTTTCTTTAGCTTTTCACCTTCTCTGTGTAGACCTATAAGCTAGTTGTTTAGGACTCTAAGGTCTATCTACTTTTATCAACCTTAGAGGCCTTCTAAAAGACTCTTTTGCAGTGTGAAAGAATTAAAAAGTTCAATTTCAGGATTCAAACGTTTTGCTGTTAAACAAAGATCCACTGTCAGGGGAATCAAAACACTTAGAAACATAGAATCATAGAATGGCCTGGGTTGAAAAGGAGCACAGTGCTCATCCAGTTCCAACCCCCTGCTGTGTGCAGGTCACCAACCAGCAGCCCAGGCTGCCCAGAGCCACATCCAGCCCGGCCTTGAATGCCTGCAGGGATGGGGCATCCACAGCCTCCTTGGGCAGCCTGTGCCAGTGCCTCACCACCCTCTGGGTGAGAAACTTCCTCCTAATATCCAACCTAAACCTCCCTGTCTCAATTTAAGACCACCCCCCCTTGTCCTATCACCATCCACCCTCGTAAGCAGCCGTTAGTATCTCCTATTGTTGTTACAGCCTTGACTGCTACACGTGCAGCAGGCATGGCTGTGATGCCAGCATTTTACAGTTGTGTGTACTCTGCTGGGTTGGAGGACTAAGCTTTGTGTATCTGGCCTTAAGAACTGAGGTTCTGAAATCTGTTCAAAACACACAAAAGCTTCACCGCTTTCAGTTTCAGCTTCCCTTTTTTTTTCTTCTTTTTTTTTCTTCTTCTCCCCCTCCAGGAGATTAAACAAAAACAGAAAGCACAAGAAGAGCTCAACAGCAGACCTCCATCCCTCCCTTTACCAGATGTTGTCCCTGATGGGGAAGCACACTACGGTCAGAATGGAATCCCCCTTCTTAACGGGCACGTTCCATTGGCACCTGCCAACCACCCTGGCCTCCAGCAGGCCAACCGTAACCACGGACTCTTGGGTGGAGCTCTGGCGAACTTGTTTGTTATAGTTGGTTTTGCAGCCTTTGCCTACACAGTCAAATATGTACTGAGAAGCATAGCGCAAGAATGAGGAGAATAAAATCCAAGACCAAATTAGATGTAGTTGCTGAGTGAGTGGGACTCTTTGGGCGTCTGACTTTTGACACTGGGATAAACGTTTTGTGTTACCAAATGACAGGTGAAATCTTGGTTGGCTCACGTTTTGAGTTTGGGAAGTGGGAGTATGTTCAGTTAGGCAGAAAACGAAACAAAGTTCTGCTCGCAGATCCTGTTGTCAAGTCAAAGCATTATTGATGAAACACCAACATTTCTAGTGCTTTGATTTTTATAGCACTTCTCCATCTGTTATTTGAGATTTGAAAACCTGAAGCAAATAAAGCTTTTTACTTCATTGAACAGTTTTTAAAGGTTCACACGTGGTGCATATCGTTTTAGTTTCATTAGGGAAGAGTCTGTACACAATTGGAGGTGAGTCAAGATGAGGACTTGGTTCATGTGAACGTGGATGCTACAGAAGATAGATGTCTTCATTTTTATGATAGAATGAACATCATTGCATATCTAGTCAGTAGTGATCAGATGAGTTGGGAGAATAACACCGTATGTGTCTGATGTGCTGTCTAAATTGTCACTGTGTAATTGGAGGTTTTATTTGGGCTGCAGGGGGTGCAGTTGTCAGCCAGTAGGAATGGTTAGCCTGAGAAAAGTGTCTGAATTGCTCTTTAGTGGGAATACAGCTGGGCAGTGTTGTTTTGGATTCGTTCATTTAGGGATTTCCATTTGGGGAAGTGTTACCTTTGAAAGCTGTAATACTTTGTTGTGATCACAAGGTGCCACTGTTGAAAATAAAAGCTCACAGACCAATGGAGAGTTGATTACCAATTGAGAACATCTCTGGAACTGCTGGGTTTTAGACACTGAAGTAAACCCAACCCTTGTGAAGTCAGTCTTGTCTGAGTAACAGGTGAGCTGCTTCAGTGTCAGCTGCATTAACCTGAAATGTCACAAGATGAAGGAAGTGAGCCCCTGGCATTAGCTCTGCTTGCTTACTTGAGAATGGGCCCAAAAATCCCAGAGCAATGCAAACAAACCCACAAAGCCCCAACTACTGATTTTATTTTATTTTTTTCCTAAGTTTTTAGAAGCTTTTGGCTTCTAGTTCCGAGTTTGTCTCTATTCCTCTTCTGCTGATAGCAATACTGTTTGTTGGTGAGATTGCAGGATTGTGAATAAAACAGTGAAGCCTCGAGTATAGTTTGAAAGCCTGAAGTGACTTTTTCAACTCATCCTGCTTTTTTTTCCTGCTTACTTTCCTCTAAATGCTTTTCCAGAGGTGAACATACTGTGCCTTTTAGAATTGGCAGTGATGTCTTGTCTTCTGGGGAGGGTGCACTTGCTGTCAATGGTACAAAAAAGGTGATAGCAGGGTAAGAAGCTCCACCTCCAGCTGCTTTGTCTGTTAGCTGTTGTGAAGAGCCCAATCAATATTACCTCATGTACTTAAGATCCTTTCTTTTTTTTTTTTAAACTGTTTTATTTTCCCTTTCAGATTCATTCTCTCTCTGCTTCTCCTCGGTATCTTGAACTGTAAGCAAAACTAAATGATAAACCCTTGAGCCATGCAGTTTAGAGCTTCAGTAAACGTGACCAATCCTCTGCAGTAGGTAGGAATTATCAAAGCTAGCAGGACAGCTCTACACTAAAGAAATCTTCAAGTAGATCTGAGATAAGGGAGGGAGGGGATGTGGAGAAGGCTGGGTTTTAAAATGTATTTATAGGTATTTTTTTTTTGATTCTGTGGTTTTACCAAATCTTATTTATAACTAATTTGCCTCTTGTATGTGCATAATCAGCTCTTGTGAAAGGAGAAACACCGATTTTATGTGCATCTGGAAACAGTTCTGTCAGTGTGGAGGTACTGTGAAGGAAGGAGGGGTGTCGAGTCTTCCTTGCAGTGATGGGGTTTTCCAGGTGGCTTGTCAGTGACTTTTATTTATATCTTCTTCCTCAAAGCAGATGGACCTTTAACTGAGGCTGTTCTGCCTCACGGATCTTCGTATCATTCAGATGTGTTTGTGTTCTCACAATGCCTTTTTGTTTTTAACCATTGACGTCGCCTGCAGACAAAAGCTTGTGAATGGTTGTCTGTGTTTATCTTATGGAAAATCTTTTGTCCACGTAACTGAAGACAAAGGCAAGGAGCCCTCGGGTATGGTTAGATGGCATCTCTTGTGAAATGTGCCTTGCCAAGGTGAAAGAATGAGTAAAACTGGGAGATGGCACATCACAAAATGTCTCTTAGGAGAAAGCAACAAGCAGTTGGCACTAAGCTATGCATGAGCATCTGCAGGTGGGTCCCTTGTTTTTAAGAAGTGCCACAACTGGAAGCAGAAAACAGCCTCTTGTTAAACCCTGGAGATGCTGCACCTTCTGTGAGGATTGGCTTCGTTTAAAACAAACACAACAAAAGAAACCCCAAAACCTTACTTTGCATTTGCAGTTTCTCTTCAGTACCCTGGATTCAGAGAGATTGGACAGTCGTTTTGGGTGCTATTTGTTGAAAGCTAGGAGCAATATCTGACTGAATCCTTGCACTTCTAGCTTTACAAAATGTCCATAGGTGTCCTTGCTCCTTGCCTTTGGTAACAGAAGACTTATTCCCTTTTGTGTAGTTTGTCATTTTGTTCTTTTTCTTTTTTTAAGGCATTTATAATAAGATGCAGTATCTGATCTTTTTGTTACCAAAGTCAGTAGGTGGAGTAAACCAGTCTTTGCCGTGCAAAAATGTTACCATGCCCTGAAGCAGTGCATTACTTGATGTAATAAAAGCTGTCCCTCAGTGTGTGATATTGGAACGAATGGTTGCCCCTTCACTTTCATGCTGCAATTTCATAGATTGCTGTAAGACGGTAAGGAAGTTTTGCAACTTGAATTGTGAGGCATCTCAACGATGGCCTTTAAAGATCTCGTGACTTTTAACGATCCTGGATTTATGTGTAGTCTTTTCTCCCCCCCCGAAATTTCAAGGTCACAGGAATTACCTCACTTCAAGCATGTACTGAGGAGTAGAAACGGCTGCATTGTAAAGTTGTTTGTTCATAATAAACATTCATGATAAAATTTAAATGTTCTCTGGGACTGTTTCTGACAAAGGGATCCCTGGGAAGGAATCTGGAAGCAAAAACAAGTTGGGATTCACTAGGAACCTTTTATCAGTGGAAAGCACTTTGCACAACAGCCTTATTTCACACCTTGAGCACTCTGAAAAGCCCAGAAGGGAAGAAGCAGCCTGGTTCCTTTTCGCTGTTGTAGTAACCCGTCGTTTCTATGGGCTTGCCACCAGGTGGGGTGGTAATTCCATCTGCTTTGGGGCGAAAGGCAGCTGATGGCTGGGACTGCACGTGGTGGTGGGAGGCAGGCAGGGATCTCAGCAAAGAGGTGCTGTGGAACGCGGCGCAGGCAGCTCGGCTGCGGTGTTTTGGGGAAGGAAACGAGTCTGAGATCGCGTGCTTTCATTCCGAAGCTGCTCTTGTGTCTGCTGTTGCGTTTAGGTTTGCTCTAACAGCTCTTGTACGTTGCCCCATTCAGCTGGAGTTTATAGCAGGTTGGCACTGGGAAGCTTCAGATTCACACCTGAGGGATCTACTCCAGGTTTTTTATCTGCCTCTGGAGCAGTTGTGGGTGTCAGTGAATGGTGATGTTGGCTTCAAAACTCCTCGTCTCCACACCAAGGCTTGGACGTTATTCCTTATGTCTACGCTGGACAACACAGAAAATCCCAGCTTTTTGCCTTTTGGATATTGTCATAATTAGGAAATGTGGGATTACTGTGAGTAAAAGGCAGATTGTGTAAGTGGGGATGGAGGGGTGTAGTCACAAGTGTCTTGCCTGACTTTTCAGTTTCCAGCTTTATGCACAGTTCATGCAGCATTTACAAATGACACTTGGCTTGATGTGTGGCTCCTTACACTGTTTTCCCTGCTTGAGTTCCCCCCTCGTACAGAATTGTTGGTGTACTTTGCAACAGTAATTGGAGTAGTTCAATGGTGCACTTCTAAGCAGCTCGTTCCTATTATTTTTTGCAAGCAGAGGTTGCACACCCTTCTAGGTGTTCAAGCACTGGCAAAGCTCAGGTGCTTTGGAACTGTTGCAGCTGGGCTCTGAGCACAGCAAGGTGTGCAGTTGTACAAGCAGTGCAATGAACTTAAGGTTGGAGGGGAGGTAATGGCTGCACCGACACTTGTTGCAGCCCTAAAAAACCACAGGGGCAGTTTGCTGTAGTGCACTGAGGACCTGTTCCTGCTCCAAATCTGAGCATGCAGCCTTGGCACTGAGCTGTTGGGATGAGAATGGGGACGTTGCAGACAGACAGCACCAGCAGACCAAGAAGCGATTACCCCATTCCTGCTCTGAATGTCATTTCTTGCCGTGGTGTGTGGATCTGTCAGGCTGTTTAGCTGCGATATGACAGATTGTCCTATTAATGTGTCATCAAGTGCACTTTTACAAATTCATGGCTTGTCTACAACTAACCTGAAAAAAGAGGCTTAAGTATGAGAAGGCGCCAAAGAAAGTTAAATATTATTAACAAATAAAGTCTGCCACGTAGTTTTGATGGAATGTGAGCTGCTTGGGGGAGGGGTGAGATGCTGTTAACTATTTAGCTTCTCTCTCCAGCACCCGTTCTGGCTCTCACTCTGTCCCAAGCTTCATTTCCCTCCCCTCTTTCTTCTGAAGAGTTCTTGGTTTTTGCACTCAGATTGCTGATGCCTCAGTTTCTCTGAGGCAGAAGAGCTGATGGGAGGCTCTTAAAATCCAACAAAGAGCTGTACTGTTGGATTACTGTACACCTGGGTGACAGGAGGCACGGTAAGGAGGTTTTAAAGCCAGCCTGCTGCTTCCTGACATCGCATTTTGTCGCTCTTGGATGACACAAACACAAGCTCAGATGAATTTGTGCATCCTTGTGTTACAGAGAGCATCAGGCTGTTCTCAGTGGCGAGCAACTAGTGAAGCTTAGCAGCTTGGCCAGATACCTTCCTTATGAGACGTTTGTAGATGTGTTTTGGTTTTCTGTTCATTTTAATGAGATGCCCATCCCCCAATTCTGTGGATACAGCAGAAAGCCCCCACTGAGCCATCCTCCCATGGGATTGGGGGGGACGTGTGTGGAGCGCAGCTCACCCAGCACAGGGCAGAGCATCTGATGCTGCGATGCTCAGTGCCTATTCCAAGCCACAGCTTTTGAGCACTGCCACAAACCCATGTGCAGCTCCCCAGGCTTCCCAGAAAAATGGTGATTTCTCAGAGATAATGAAGGGGAGGAACAGAGAAGGGCTGAGGGGAGGGAGCAGGGAGTGGGCACTGATTTGAATCTGCCTGGCACACAGGCCAGCTCCACTTATCAGTGAGTCTAATAGGAATGTGAAGAGAATAGGCTTGACAGCTCATTAGAATGTGATCCCTCCTCCTTTTTCTTTTTTTTTTTTTTTTTTTTTTTCCCCTTCAAGTTGATGGAAACTCGTTCAGGAAAGAAGTGCTTATTTGCTGAGGTAGAGCAAGAGCTGAGGAGGGCTTTGCCAGTTTCCAGCCTGGGAAAGGAGCAGCGAGGAACATCAGTGATCAACACTTGGAGATACCCGAAATCCTCCTGGGTGTGACACCAGGCACACGTTTCTGCATCCTGAAGCTGCCATCAGGACTCACTGCTCATCATCTCATTAAAGTGAAGACAAACCCAGCTGAAGAGAGAAGCTAAACCTGGGAAAAACTTTATCTGCTCCTCATGGACCGAGGTACACCCTCAGCTTCTTTATTTATCCCTGGTTTGACTGAATGATCTGTGAGGAACTGACTTTGTCCCTAGAAGGCTGAGCACTTGGCAGGGATGCTCTCAGCCTCTGGAGAAGAGTGGTGATTGTAACAACCTTGAGTGGCAAATTCCCTGCCAGGACAGGATGAGGACTTGTCACTGAGGTGTCCTTGGAGTGAGGATGGATGGGACCTCTTCACGCCTGCTTTGCAATGAACACAGCGCCTTAAATGACAGCAAGTGAAATCTTCTCCTGAAGAGGAACAACCAAACAGCCTCCCCTAATGAGTTTGTGTCAGCAGCCCCGACCTGAGCAACCGTTGCCCTGAGCAATCTGACTTCTCTGGGTTTCATAGCTAAGTGCGTTTTAATCGAGGCTGAAGACTTATTGTGTGTGTGTGTGTGTGGAGGGGGGGGGGCCACGAGGGGGGAGCAACACTGCAAGGTGGGTGGCAGGGCTTCCCAGGGCCCCTCGTATTTATGTAAGCTTCAGGAGCCTGAATGGACTTACCTCTCCTTCGAGTGAAGCCAGATTTTCAGACAAGTTTATCCGTACCGTTTCCATGTGTCCTGCTTGAACGCAGCTCTCTCCAGCAACCAGCACGTCCATGCATGCTGCTCGTTTGGCACCGCGTAGCCCAGAGGACTGTCTTTAATAGTTCTAACCTCTGTATTTATTATTATTATTATTTTTCTAGAGAGAAGTCTGTGTCTATTCCTCTTATTGGTGGTGAAGGTTTTTGTGCTCGGAGAGTGCCCTTCCTGACTTGGCCACTCCCTTTGCAAAATGAAGGGCTGCACCTGGGTGTTTGTGGCCACTTTGCTTTGCCACCAGTTCTGCCTCTTCAGAGTCATGGCAGCAAAGAAAGAGAGAAAGATGAAGAAAGAGCCCAATCAGTACACAGAGCCTTTCAATGCCACCCTATCCAACAGCGAAGAGCTGCATGGGCATCCCAAGGTAGGTGGTACGTTATCAGTCCTTGGTTGAACTCATTTTGGCAGCAATGTGATGCTGGTTCCTCTTCCACTGGAGCAGCCTTGCCAATCTCTTTGATTTTTAAAGAGAATTTTCTCCCCTTTGCATGATTTGTTTCCTAGCAGTTCCAACACCTGAGCATGCCTGAGCTTTCTCAGCACTGCCCTTTTGCACAGGGGGGAGTCGTGGTTGAAAATTACAGGTGGGAAACACGTTGGTGTGCGCTGGGGGTGATTGTGGCTCTGGCAGGAAGGGATTCAGGATTCGTGCCCCAGTGAGAAATGTAAAGCTGTGTGTGCTTTGTGAGGGGCAGTGGCTTCTGATGGGCAGGATGTGGCAGTTCAGTGCTGAGGGGATCAGCCCAGGCTGCAGGATGCCGTTTCCACTGAGTCAATCGGAGACATCCAAATCCTTCAGGATGAAAATCTGCACAGAATGCATGGGAGTAGGAGGGGAGTTCAGGTCCTAGGGTTAGGAGCTGGGTGGAATGGGAGGCTGCAACACTGAGACGGGAGGGAGTGTCTCCTGTCACGCTGCCCCTGACCACCCTATGCTCGTACAAAAACGTCCCTGGTGACCTCTAGAACACGACTTTGATCACAGGCATTAGGGATGGCAGTCACTATAGCGATTGAAGAACAACCTGTCAGAAATTGGGGCAGGGAGGAGGGGGCACGTTGGAACAATTGGTCTGGCATTCTAAACGTCCCATTCAGTGCTATTGTGAAAGTAATTGGTTAAGGTTGGGCAAGTCTGGGAACGGTCCTGTGTATAAGAAAAGCTGGCTGCTGCACTTGGAGTGATCATTAGGGTACTGAAGGCAGTGCTCGTTTTTGTTGTCTGTTGTAGGGCTTTGTCGGGACAGCTCGTGTAAGTGCTGTGTTCTGAAGGTGCTTACATTCGATTGCTTTCTTCCACTTTCTCTACAACTGCTTCATTCTCCTTCTGCACAGGAGGCAGATATCTATCTGATACGAATGCATTCCAGCCTGTTTTGGAATTAATTTTGTTTCTGGTGAAATACACTGGACCAGAAGCAGAATGTATTCTGATGGCAGAAGCAGGAACCGGTCCTGGTTTATGCTGACAGAGTCACACGTTACTGCTGGAAGAAACACAGCACCCACTCAGGGGCGTTCATTAACACAGACATCGGTTGGAAGCTGTAGTTTCTGTGTTGAAATGCTGTGCTTTAAAATATCCATGGCAAAGGTTTGGCACTGTGAGAGCTGCAGAGCTTGGCGGGGGCAGGTTTTGTTTCGTAAGGATGGGACTAACCCAAATGTCTGCTGTAAATGCCTGTGAACTCTGCTTGATACACACTCCCCATTTCTGCAATGTGGTTTTCTGCTTGGAATCTCTCCAGAGCTCAAGTATTGCTTCTGAACGTTGTGGGTGACTGCGTCCCTGAGCCCTGGCAGCGCTGCTGTGAGTTCTGCTTGGTGAAGGGATGCACAGGAACAACAGCACTGTCCTATTCCCCCGCGCTACATAACAGGAAAGACAGACTTCTTTTTTCTGGGCTGTGAACTGTAAAAATTAAGGCTGTGTTTACCTTGGAAGGCTCTCTGGCCAACTGGTAGGTTTGTCAGAGCAGGAGCAGAAGTGAAATATTAGATGAGTGGCGATTTTCATTCGTGCTGTTAAAAAGGTAGATTTGTTTTCCTTCTAATTAAGCAGTTTGGGAACAGGTTTATCTTGGGAATTCTTTTCAAACACAGAGCTGAGAAAATTCTCTTGAACGCCATCAGTGCATGAGCCATGCGGTGAGACCTGTGCTGAAGGAGGCAGGCAGGAATCTCAGTTCTCTGACAAACTGATAATTCAAGGGGAAATAATAAGAATGTTGAAAATATATATATATATATCCAGCTTTAATCTTTGCATAGCTGTCAGTGTGATGTGCTCACAGAGCACGTGAGAGCTTTCTCTCTGGCACAGATGGGCAGAGAGCGCAGTGTGATGGATGGATACAGAGGTTTTCTTCGGCTGTATCAGCACAGCTTGGCTGGGAGTGGCTGAGCACAGCTGCCACTTGCCAGGCTTGTCTTCCCTTTCCCAGCTATGGATCTCACCCATTGGGATATTGGGCCAGTGGGGGATATCAGGCTGCGTTGTTTGGTACCCATCTCGTGTGCTTTGAAAGTGGTCCTTCACAAGGTCAAAGTGCTCAGTTGCGTGCCCAAACCATGCGTTACTGAGTGCCCTCTGAGGACAGAGGCAGCCTTTTGCAAGCTGCTTGGTGTGGGTCCAACTGTCACAGGATTTTATCAGGAGCACCCAGAGCTGTCTGGACAGTTTTCACAGTTGGGGTTTGGTTCGTGGTGCTGGGCTAAGCGTTGCCTGGAGGAGCATCCAGGTAATGTGCTGGCTGTGAACAGAGCTGAGTGCATCCGTGCCTGAGTAGAGGGGATAAAGGAGACGGAGTGAGCGCTCACTGGAAGGAGGAGAGCCATTGAGTACAAACTGAAATACAGAAATTCCACTTAAATGTAAGAAAAAATATCCATCTTTACCGTGAGAGTGATCAAACTCTGGAAAAGGGTGAACAGAAAGGCTGTTGGATCTCCATGCTTGGGGATGTGCGAAGCAGCCAACCCCATGAAATTGCAGGGATGATTTGAGGTCAACGGGGTTTTACCTTCAATGGGATTTCTGATGATGGGATGTTTTTTAGCTTAGTCACCCACTATGTGGACAAAGATATTATTTCCTCTGAAAGCACCATTCTGAGGCACTCCAAAGCAAAGGGAAGAGTTCTCTACCACCTGTAGTAATTCCAACAGTCATGCTCCCAAGAGCTGCTCCATTGGATTCATTACATTCAACGTGGAGTGATGTGTTTAAGGGGAGAGGAGGAGCTCTGTGAGATGGCCACTGAGAGAAATAAAGATGAAATTTTTGTTTTAATCACAGGACACAGTGGGAATGTAGATATCCCAATTGGGATTTGGTTGAGGTATCAAACCTAACGCTTCTGCTCTCAGGAAAGTTCTTGAGAGATCTGTGCAAACCACAAGTGGTGAGGACCTTGGTTTTACATCTCATTAATAACCAGGGGTGTGCACAGCCATGACTTAGCAGTGGCCAACATCGGGTTTTTCATGCTTAAAAGTGGGATTTGTCTCTTTTAACCAGGTCCAAATAAAACAGACTTGTGGAGGCAATCGTTGGCTGACCGTTCCGTATTGAAGCTGACGATGCTCTTGTTGGTGTCTATTGGACGTAACAACTTGTACATATGTGGATTATCACAACTGAAATGCCAAGTCAGGACACTGTATTTCTGGCAGCTGCTTAATTAGCAAAGAATTGCTAACTGGAATTCCATCCCAGATGGGCAAATATATTGGCAACTCTTTGAGCAAAACTTCCATTGACTTCAGGTGTGGAGACCATAGGCCAGAATGGTTGGGTGTATATCCTTGGAGACCACCTCTGACTCACTGCAATGGGAATGGTGCTGTCCTCACAGGGCTGCAACCTTCCCTTGCTTCTTTTCCATCCTTTTCCACCCTGAGAAATGCCGAGGTGTGCCTGAGAACTCTTGGAGATGCTTTTGGATGTATGGACATAAGGATGGATGTACATCTTGCTCGTAGTGTTTCCTTTTATTCATCCTAAAAATGACTTCAGCCCATTTCACTTTGGTCTTCAGCAGAGATGCAGACCGGATCCCACCATCCCTGGATTTTAGGAAAGTTCAGACGTAGGTCAGATATTTCTCAGGATCTCCACTCCTGGGCTGTAGGTTCAGCCTTCCATGCTGTGGCAGTGCATGCTGTCCTGGGAGTCAGAGCCAGAAAGAACCACAGGTTGTGGCTGTGCACCGCAGCCCCAGTGACAGCTCAGCTGCTCTTCTGTTACAAGTGAGGCTGCTGAGCTCCTGCTGGGTCACACGACTGCTCCAAAACGATCACTGCTGTTGTATTCCAAAGCTATGTTAAAAGAGCTGATTGAAAGTTGATTAAAAATCGCTGGCAGTGCTTCAGTTGTTTTTAGAGGCACTGCTTGAAGCGATAAGGGCTAAGCTGATTCCGCTGCATTACCAGGAGAATTCCTCTGGACTCCTGCAAGCTTTGCTCTGCAAACAGCAGCCCAGGAGGGACAGGTTCCCTCTGCTGGGATTCCAGGGCTGTTCCCAGCCCTGACTGATACCTGAGTTGGCTGCGAGGTCCCTGGCTGCTGCAGGCGGCCGCTGCCAAGAAAAATAGAGGCTTGCATGCTTATTGCTGGGATTGCTCATGCATGCCGTAGTAATTAAATAATAATACCACAAGGATGGAACATTGATTTTAACTGTCAGTCATCCTTGTGAAGGAGAAACTGGGGAGTGCCGTGGCTGTCTTCTGGAGGGGTTTGCAATTTAGGGGGCCACTGGCAGTGTGCTGATTTCCTCCCCTTCTCCCCTCCGTTTTCCCCCTTTCTTTTTTTTTTTCCCCCCTTCTTTTTTCCCCTGATTTTTTTTCTCCTCTCCCTCCTAATTGAAAAAGCCATGTGTGCTGTAAGTGCAAATGGCAAAGGATAAATAATTCAGGTGGAAGAACTCGCTGGTACCCTTAACAAAATGTGCAATCACCAGCTGGCTATAAATGTTGTTACAAACATTGAAAGTCTGTTGGGGACTAATTTGGGTACAGAAATAATGAACAAGATGGGTTCATTATTTCAAACAAGCTCGTTCTGCTTGTTTGAGATGCACGCTAAATTTAAGCGTGCGAGGGAGACTGTTTATCCATAACTCTGATTAATTACAGTGGGGAATGCATGATCAATATGGCAGAATGGTTGGGAATCAATGTGGCAGAATGGGAATCTCCTTGCCTTGGCCTAGAGCCGGGAGGGAGCTTTCCTGACTCAGCTCTGAAGCACCAGCATTCTGTATATCCTCCCACTGGAGCTCCAGCAGGCTGCTCAGATTTAACTCCAACACTACTTACTCTGCATGGATTTTTGGAGGCAAATGATACAAATCGTGGTCTTTTCTCCTCAAAGCGAGCTTCCCTTGGTGTTTCTATCCTAAATTTGCAAAATTGTTTGTGATGCTTCTGTAAGCGATGACAGAAAGTGACACGGTAATGGAGAATCCAGATGGAATTATTTGCTCCAGAAGTGGGATAAAATGGAATTTTACAGTAGACCCTGAACCTGATGTCCTCTCAAATGCAGTATGTTTGGATCAGAGGTTTGCTTACGTGGCAGATATCTGTCTGGTCTGGGTACTTCCCATTCTCAGAGTTCCTGAATTGGCCAAAGAGACCCAATTAGGCCCAATTGCATCTGTGTTTGCTCTCGTTTCTCTCCAGATCCTCGAATCTCCAGACCCTCGTATCACAGACCCACGGCGGACCTGGATCTCCTTTGTCCACCGCCCAGATGATGGCAACACCTCTAAAAGGAAATGCAAAGGCAAAGACAAGAAATTAGTAGGTCCCTGCACTGCCATCAGCTAACAAACGTGCACCGTGTCTTCCCTTCCCACTGCTGTTACTCAAGGTGTTCTGTGTGCTCCAGCTTTTGCTCTTCCTCAGAGTGCTGTGTTTCCTTTTTTTTGGTTTTGTTTTCCTCTTTAAGTTTTCCCAAGGTATTTTGGAGAAGCTTGAGGCGGTAAGTGCGCTCTATGCTTTGCAAGATGAGCGTGTGTGAACTCTGCTGTCAGTGCTCACTTTGGTTTGAACCAGCTGTTTCTTGGGCTGAGCCTTTCTCTTTTATTTTCTGCTCAGTAGAAATAAAATTAACATTTTTCTTCCACTAGATGAAGTGCAAATGTCTTAAAGGATATACTAACCAAGGATATGCTAACCAAAAAAATAATTTATTGCAATTTAATGGATTACTGCTCATCTGTGTGTACTTTTCATCTCCTGCTGAGTCAAATACTGAATATGTTTTTAATGCCTTCCTTTTACCTTTCAATGGCCTGATAGCAGGAGTGCTTTCATGCACTGATGAAACTCCAAGGGAATGATACACATGGAAACAGCACTGATTTGTGTTCCTATTACCAGCTTCTAGCTCTGTGTAGCTTTCTTGGCTCATGGCTGGGAGAACTCTGGTCATATGCAATGGCCTGATTCTAATTCTTGTGTTTTCCTTTGGTTCCTTCCTTAGCGTGGTCTTGTTGGGCCTCCAGGGCCTCCTGGTCCCCAGGGTCCCCCAGGAGCACCTGGTGCTGAAGTCACCCGGGAAGTCCTGCTGCAGGAGTTTAAGGAGATATTAAAAGGTAAAGACTTTTGTTTTGAGCTTTTGTGAATTGTTTCTTTTGATAAGCACCGTGGCAAACAAAGAATTGGTTTTGCAAATGTTTAGCTCTAGCTGACGATCAGAAATTTGGGAAGATATTTCCTCAGCGCTGCTCAGTTTGCCCAGGGAAGTGGTCAAGTCCCCATCCATGGGGGTGTTCCAGAACTGTGGAGATGTGGCACTGTGGGGCATGGTTAGTGGGAACGATGGGGATGGGATGGGGTTGGACTTGGGGATCTTAGAGGTCTTTTCCAACCTGGATGATTCTGTGGTTGAGTTCAGTTTGAAGTGTGGACAAGTCTGACCACACAGCTGATGGCTTCATAGACCAAGCTCTTAAACAAAGCCTTTTTTCTTTTTCCTGTACTTTCTGTCTCCTCAGAAGCCATTGAGCGTCGGGCATCCTTGGCAATTTCAGCACATCCCAGCCAGCTGCCTCCACTCCTGCTCTCCTTGGAGGAAGTTTCACCCTACCGACGTGTAGAGGAGGCGTTCCACTGCAAGCTAAAAGGACAAGTTGTCGTAGATAAAAAGACCCTGGTAGAGCTTCAGAACTTCCAGTCGGTGAGAAGAGATATCAGACTGAACCTGTGCAACACAACAGCCGCTGTGTGTAGATGAGCTGGTCTGCAGGGCTGCCAGGTGTTTCCTGAAAGGGAAGACTGGATGCCATGACCATTAGCATTGCCTTGTTTGTAACTGAGAAGCTGGATCTCATGTGGTGATTACAGCCCTAAAGCTCAACTGCAGTAGGATGGACAGTTAGCTTTAAGTCCAAACAAACTCAAGGCTTTCTTCTTCTCTTGTAGCCCAGCTGTATCTCATGGCAGTTCCTACTGAAGTCCTAGCAGTCTGTGCAGGAGATGGCTGTCTTGCAGCTCTAAACAACAGTCAGCTTCTATTTTGGTTAATGATAAAGACTTGTCCACATCTGACATTGATCTGAGGGATCTGTTTGTTTTTTTTTTTCATTGCAAACCTTGTTTTACTCCAGAGTAGCCTTCAGATGTAGAGGAGAGTCAGAAGCACAGAGCAGTTACTGGTGATAGATATGTGAGCCCAAAGTAAGAGGCATCCTGTTGTCATATGATTCAGTCTCAGTGCTAAAATTCTTTACATACTGTTTTACAGAAGACTAACAAATGTCAAAGTAATAGCTAAAACCTGTCTTTGTAGTAAGTAAGCTTACTTCCCCACTGCACTGCCTCATCTCTGAAGAATCCTGTCCAGCAGATCGTTTCCTATGGAGTGGTTTTGCTGCTGGGACTTCTCACAGAAGCAGGACTGAAGGCAGAGGTTTTTGCTCAGGGTGCTCTCCTGGATCTTTCCCAAATACTCTTGTGGAAGCCTGGTTTGACAGCACTGTGGGTGCTGGCACAGAGGCAAGATTGTACTTGAAGTGTGGGCAGGGCTAGAGAGATCTGCTGCCTCATTAATTAGGAGGGAAAATGTGAATAAAGACATCTCAGCAATCAGTGCGTAGGCTGACACTTCCCATGCTTTGTTATCGTATGCCTAGCTCCTTTCTAATTGCTTCTGGCCCTGAAGCTGATGTGGGAGGGCTGGCAGGGCTCTGGATGCCAGCCTTTCATTTCAGCTCTGGGACAAGAAGTATCTGGTTTTAGCTTGTGTTCTGATATAGGGGAATTCAACGGGGAGGGAGACGGTGGTTGCTCCTGCAAAGATGAAAACATTGTCTTTCGACAGTCCAAGAGGAGAGAATTCCCCTCTCTCCACCCTGTTGGTTTAATAGTGCGAAGAAGCCAACGGTGTGATACTTCCCAGTGAGATGATAGAGACTCAATCTAACTCTTTGGAACTTACCCAAGGCATTCTGAGTTAAGTGGGAAAGAACACTGAGAGAGGGACCAGCAGTCCTGCTCTTTGCACTCCTGTTCTTTGTCATTTGGGTGTTGTGTTGCTCTGACCTTGGGTTATTCAGATAGCACGGCATTTTTCTCACCCTGAGAGTTTTCCATCCCTCTCTTCCTCTCAGTCTCATTATTTCCTTCACATTTGGAATTAAAAGTGATATAGCCTTCCTGCACATCTCTACCTACCTGTGGTTGCTGTACCAGCTGGGTTAACCGTAATAACAAAAGTCAATGCATTACTTTTCACAGCCTTTATCGCTGATAAGCTAAGCTCACATCTCAGTTCCTTGTGTGTGGTTCCTGTCTTCAACTAGGAAATAAGATATGGAGTATATAAGAGAGACATGGGGAAAAGAGATGGACTGAGGAAGAGAAGCTGGTCTTGGTCTGTAGAGCATGACTGGATGCTAACTTGTTTGTTTGCTTTGGGTTTGCTTATTGAAATAATTGGTGCACAAGTAGTTTCTCAGCATATACAGCAGGGAACTCTAATTGGCATGGAGTTTAATGGAATATTTTTGCCCAGAGAAACCTCTCCCTTCTCAGAACCAGCCCTTTGCACTGTCTATTTCTATGAGCAGAAGAATAACAAAGCCACAGAAGGCGTGAAGAAACAGGAATGTTTTATCAGTGATAATTTACTGGTGCCTACAATTGCCTTCCATGCCCATCCAGTGGTTTTGGAATTCGGTTGCTGATTCCTCTAATAGCTGTAACAGGAAAGGAATGAATTAACAATGCAGTTTTGCACACAGGGGGCTTGGATCTTGCTGTAAATCAAACATAGCATTACCAAAAATGACAGCATAGTGATAGCATAAGAATGGCAGCGATCTCATCACGTAGTCTTTGCCGTGAGGTCAGCTGTTAGATTGTCTATGTATATGCAGAGAGAAAATGAGTTTCTTTTTTGTGTTCTTCTGTTCCTCGGGGCCAATGCAGGGCAAATCCCTCCAGGCAGCATTCATGGGATTGCATTTACACTGCACAGAATGCCCTTGTGGTGGAAGCAGAGTCTGGCTAATGTGCTTTCTTGGCCCATAGAAGCCCCTCCTGCTTCTCCCCAGCTCTAACCGAACTCACACTGGACAGGCCAAAACTAACAATAAACATTTCTTGTGGAGTTTATTTTAGTCTAAGTCGGATAATCTGCTGTGAGTTTGACTTAAGACTGCTCCCTTGCGAGAGGAGAATCTGCATGCTGTTTCCCTAGGCTTTTGCCTATCCTGTGGAATCTGAGGCTGGAAATTAAATGCGGAATCTGTAAGAATCCAAACAGTTGTCCTTAATAGCATCAGAGCTGTCTGACTTCTACAAGAAATGGTGTTGAAGACCTCTGGAGACCCATATGATTGTTTCCTCTGCACTTGCATTGCAAAAGCTGTGTATGAGATTCCAGATTTTTAGGCTTGGGGGGGCTGCTTGGCCCCATCTAGGAGTTTTTGGGTAGTACTAGAAGGGATCTCATGACTCATATAATGGAGAGTGGTGTGGTTCAGTGGAGACAGCAGGACCAGCAGAGCATACAGATGCAGTGAGCATGGTCTGAGATATGCAAATAGAACTGCTGTTAAAGGCCTAAGTTTTGGGCAAAGTCCCTGGAGTCATAGAATGGCTGGGTTGGATGGAGCCTCAAAGGTTTAATTCCAACCACTGTGCTGCGTTAAGTTAGAAGAGTTGGGCAGTGAGAAAAAGGTACCTTCAGATCTCATACTGATCGTTTTGCCTTTGGTGGGCATCCAGTGCTGAGAGGCAGCTCATCTGGAAGGGAAAATCAGGGGAAAAATGGCAGCAGCCTGGCAAATTTTTTGAGCCCTGTTCTCACGCGTGTCAAGTGCTCCTTTTTCACAGGGACTTGTTCAAGATCTGCTTTGCTTATTTTGCAGCCTTTGGCCAAAGGAGCTTTTCTCCGGGGGACGGGGCTGAACCTGGCAACGGGACGTTTCACAGCACCCGTGTCTGGCATCTACCAGTTCTCAGCCAACGTCCACATCGGTGAGTGCTAAAAACTGAGAGGTGCTGGAAGGAGATCTGGCGGCCTCTGGGTCTCTGGTGCGTCCTGTCTGATGTGAAGAACGTCTGATGGCAGCCCTTTGCAGCGAGCTCTCCTTTTGGTACCATCTCTTAAATTGTTTGGGATTTCCTAAGGAGCCACAATATTGCTGTGCCTTTTGAACCGAACGCCAGCAAGTGATTGCTGCTGTGTTATGGATGGTTGTGTTTATTTCACTGCTTTCCACAGATCACAGTGAGTTGAAGAGCAAAGTCCAGCTCCGGGCCAGAGATAACGTGCGAGTGTTGATCTGCATTGAATCTCTGTGCCACCGATACACGTGAGTGACTGCAGTTTTAAATCATAAATACGCACAGAACTTTTCTGAATAGATGGATTCCATCTGGCCCTTGGGCTTTGTGCTTTTTTTTTTTTTTTTTTTCCCCCTCCTGATTTGTAATGTTTCAGTGGATGGTGTCAAGTACTCTAAATAGATGAATAAATACTGTGTGTGTTGACAGAACATATCATCCTTTCAGCTGTAGCACGTAAATGCCCTGTATTGGAAGGTCAGCTTGCTCAGGATGAGTTTGGCATGTGTTGCTTCGAGAGAGGAGGCTGAGAACCCATGGGCTGGGCTGAAATGCACCCAGCAGAGGGCAGTGCTGCTTGGATTGAGTGGCCACTGTCTCTGGTTGTGGCTGGATTTGGGGAAAATGGCCCTTATAGGGCTGTGCGGATCTGCCCTGCCCTGCATGCAGCTCTTCAAGTGCAGCCCTTGTAACAGCACCACCAAAATATATCCGTAAAATGACTTATGGTACAGCTTGAAGCCAACTAAACTATAAATTTGCTGCTGGGCTGGCTGCTTCAGCCTCACCTTTCCTCTGTGACTTGAGTGCAGTAAATAGGGCTGACCCTCCACAGCCCTATCAATTTTAGAGCCTTTATGGGACGATTAATTTGACATGAAGCCTCAGAAAATGAATACCAGCTCTCTAAGGTTTCATTCGCCTGTGGAAAAGACTTGATTGGTGTTGGAGTACTCATTAGTAACTGGGGTAGCTAGCTGTGTGCCCATTGACCTGGTGGGAAGTAAAGGAGCTTGTTGACTGAAGCAACTGGCACCTCTTCAGCCTTGTAGACTGTTCTGTAACAGTCTTTTATGGTTGCAGCACTTAGTTGAAGCGGTGTCAGACTGGTTGCAGTCTTGCACTCGTGAGAAGCCCTTCAGATCGTGTTAAGAACATATCTTGGTCTGAGCTTGCAATCCGGGCTGCCTGTTGGCACTCAGTGATTCTGGGAAAGCTTCCTTGTTGTGGTAAATGCAGGCACAAGAATCAATGAATAGGAAGCTCCTGTATGGATCAGAAAGAGCAGTGATGCTTTGGCACAGCTGCCCAGGGAGGTGGGGGGGGGTCCCCATCCCCAGAGGTGTTCAGTGTGGAGATGCGGCAATGAGGGACGTGGGCAGGGGGCACGGTGGGGATGGGTTGGGCTTGGGGATCTTAGAGATCTTTTCTAACCTTTGTCATTCCGTGAGTCTATCAAGTGAGATGAGCACTGGCTCTGTGAAAGACATTTCTCTTCTGCAGTGGGTGAGAGTGTGACTGGTCGGTGGGATGGAAGGATGATGGGTGGAGGGATGGGGACCTGTCTGGACAGACATTCTGCTGGCATGAGCCGAGCTGCTACCCATGCTTGTGGAATTTCCTGGGGATGTCTACGTATGCAGTCATTCATTTTAGGGAGCTGAAAGAGCCTTGAGGGCTTTCGGCTGAGAGAAATGGAAACTGAAAAGCACAGAGACAGTTGGAGTAGAAGAGATTAATGGTGGGAAGTTCCCACCCAAGTGAGGCTTTGGCAGGATATGACACACAGACTGAGCTCTTCAATCAAGGTGGTGCCAAGTGGCTTGCTCTCTCTGGGCCAAATTGCCCTTACCTTTTGTGCACATTATTTCCTTGCAAGGGGGATGGAAGCAGCACGTTTGCACTTGCTAGGTTTCGTCTCCACCCCTTCATGGAAAAAAAGGGAGGGAAGGGGTTGGTTGGCTTGGAAAAACAACTGGATCTGCTCGCAGTGGCTAGGTAGATTTCAGAAAAGCCAGCCAGTCATGGAGCTCTGTGCTTTCCCATTGCTTTGGAACTCAGCTCGCATGGATGAGTTACTGTCTCACGCACGTCCTTCCATCCTGAGTCCTGCACAAGGAGTGGTTCTTCATTCACAGAGGATGACATGAGGAGCAGCTGTCCTACATCTTGCTGCTGTGAGGAATGTGATGGCTATTTGGGCATCATGGCACTTGAAAGGGACTGGTACTACAGAAGGGACCGAGGGGGGGATCTGGAGCTCTACCTCAAGGCTTAATCTGAAGACCTTTGTTTTTTATTTTTAATTTTATATGATGCCTGATCCAGATGTCCTCCCAAAACAGCTTTCGGCTGCAGAGTATGTTCTTTCTTGTGTAGGCTGTATGCGTGTATGTTTATGGCAGAATCGGCCTTTCATACCTTGAAAATACCCTGTTATTGGCAGAGTGCATACAGCGAGCTCTTTGCAGAATATCAACAGTATAAATTACTTGTGATGGCCAGTTGTTGTGATTGCCTCAAGGTTTATTGTTCTTTTGCTACTGTTTAGGTCTTTGGAAGTCATTGCTGGTTTGGAAAGTAACAGCAAGATCTTCACTGTCTACGTGCATGGCTTGCTGCAGCTGCAGGTAGGGCTCTGCAGGCTGGGAATCATTTATGGTCGGTCTGGAGTTATTTACTGCTAAGTCTGAATTCTCACCAGGAGGTGGGAAAGTTATTAACCTTCTCAATGAGGTTAATTGAAGCTAAATGACATCCCCAGGGTGGCTGTAGAGAATTGGTGGCAGGGGAGGTGGTGGCTATTCGTGGCATTGAGGGACACGGTCAGTGGGCATGGTGGGGGTGGGCTGGGGTTGGACTGGATGATCTCAGCAGTCTTTTCTGACCTTTACGATTCTATGACTTTTCCTTTCCTTCTTGCTCACTCTGCAGGCTGGCCAGTACACCTCCATCTTTGTGGACAACAGTGCTGGAGCTCCCATCACCATTCAGAATGGATCCGATTTCATGGGCATGTTAATGGGCGCGTAGCATCGTCTGCAGCACTGCAGCAGGGAAGAACACGAATCACAGCCTTACAGCATATATTTGACTGAAGAAACCTTTACTTTGTCTCTTGACGACTGCTTCATGTAACTGCTGGCGTCTTTTTAAACAAGCAAAGAGCCTTTCCTTTTGCAGATTCTTCAGCTTGCTTTCAGAGGCTACTGCTTCTCAAGGTCCACACCAGTTCATTCACCTTTAAAAAAAAAAATACACTTTTATAACTCAGAAACAGACTCTGTAATATTTAATATGTGCTTCACCAGATGTGCACCGAACAGCACACTGAGATCTGGCATTTGTTGTAACTTTATTTCACACGATTACACCTGTAATCAGCATGTCTTTGGGACTGACTGCGGGGTGTTTTAAGTTTGTAAATGAAGGATTGAGAGGGGAAGTCAAGTAGTGACTGCGTTCCATGTGTTGTGGAGGAAGGAGACAAGAATTTGTCAGCAAAACTGTTTTTCACACAGTTGTCAATGGTGCAGGGCCCTCTCTCGTGTTCAAACTGAGATACGTTTGACAAGCGGCATGTTGAATTCTCAAGCAATGCCTGCTTTCAAAGATGGGAATCCAAGGGTTGAACCGTTTAACGGTGGTTCCCTAAATCCAAGTCTGTTTCTCTGCTCTTACTGAGGAAGCCAAATACCTCGCTGCCTGCACAGTTTTATTTTCATGAAAACGTGAGGCCAACGGCACCAGTTCTGGCACCAACTCCCTCAGTTATGTTCTTATGTTTTAGTAAGATATATATTTGGCTCTGGACTGCATCACTTACACAGCATCCTCTCAGGTGTCATTTATCCGTTTGTAGATCTGTCTGATGTGTTTTACTGGTTGTGGGTGTTGTCATTTCATTGGGCTTTTCCCTTCAACAGACACTTGGCCTTGTAATGATGCAACTTAATTAAGGAAATGGCTGATCAGCAGTTTCATAAATAGATGGCAGCGGGGCCCCACGTGGAGTCCAGATACTTTTCTTGAATTTTCTTGATTTTTCCATGATCCATTACAACACCTTCATAAAATGAGTACCAAGACTGCTGGGGACAGCAGAAGGCGTGAAGAAATGAGCCAGCAGTTCACCCCAGTAGTGACTGTTGGGGCTTCACAGTGTGTAACTCACATGAAGATCATTAAACCCTACCAGCGAGGATTGGCTGTTGACGTTGGGTTTTGGTGGGGTAGGTGTAGTCAGGGCACATGGCCTGTATCCCAGTATGTATTACTATACTGTACTTCTACTGCGTGAATATTTGTAATAAATTGGGCTATTTTGTGCACGACTTGCAGCAGCAGAATCTCCAGGTGTTGTTGCATTCAGTTTTATGTCGTTACCTATGGGTTTTTTGAACCAAGTCTCACTGTTGGTAAATCAGAGGTAAAATATTTATTTTGTTGTAGAACTAAAAAAAAAAAAAAATTTTAAGATTTTGTTTTGGGTTTTGCGACTTTTTTTTTTTTTTTTTTTTTTTTTTTCTCCTGTTTGTTGTGTTTTATTCCTGTGGTCTCAATAGCAGATGAATTGTTGTGTCTTTATTTCTACCTGTTCTGCCTCTGGTTGATGAGTTGATGGTTGGACTTTGTGATATTAGAAGTCTTTTTCAACCTTATTAGTTGGAAAACATCGCCTTATTAAGAATATTTTTAGCTCTGGATGCTACCAGCCATGGAGGAAGGTGCCCAATGGGCATGGTGGGGATGGGTTGATGTTGGACGTGGGGATCCTAGTGGTCTTTTCCAACCTTTGTGATTCCATATAGGCTGCAGTTCTCTTGAATCATGGAGATGCAGCCATCGGTGCGTGAGGCTGTTCCTCCAGCAGCACGATGGGCAGGATGGATTGAAACAGCCAGGAATAAGCTGGGCCTGACCTCCACTGTTCAGGTGCAAGTGTACCAAACTCAGAACTCAGCTGGGCACAAGGTTCCTGGCTGAGCTGTGGGTGACACCAATGCTCTGCAAGGCTTTTGTGCTGTTTGGAGGCTGAGGAGATTGATTAATGATGTGAGAAGTGAGGTTTCAGTGCTCCTCTGTTTGTAGCCATAAAATTTATAGTCCAAGAAAATACGACGACTCAGAAGGACTGAGTTCAGTATGAGCAAGTTGTTTGTAACAAAATAAAACCCGTGCGCTTGAGACTGTGGTTTAATGGCCAAGTGAGCTAATCTCACCCAATGGGAATGGCAGTTTGTGGCAGGCACAGGGAGAAATCTGAGACAAATTAAATTTTAAGAAGTCACGTAATGAATATGGCCACTGAGATGTTGACATCTTCAGCCTGGCCTTTGTGTGGGACCTATGAAGAGTCTCTCAGAGAAGAAGCTTGCTTACTTGTATTTCGGAACAATAAACCAAGCCATCTTAGGAGAAGCATCGACTGCTAATTTTGACGTCTATAAAAGTGATTATTTCCACTCATAATTCCTTATTCTAAACAGAGTCTAGCTAAAAGTTTCCAGCTTCAGGCTAAAGTTACTTAGCAAGGCGGTTTAGTGGGTAGGTGGATGGTTGGACTGGATGATCTTTTCCAATCTTAGTGATTTTATGGTAAATATCACAGCCTCGTGCTTCTGGGACATGCCTCTGCCTTTGGCTTAAGGGTGAAGGTTAGGCAGGGTTGCTAGCAGGCTTCTTTAGCTCCTTTTTGTGTTGGGTGCCCTCCCCAACCCTGCTGTTTTCATGGCTCCTGCATTCACTCGGATGCACTGTGCTGCATCAGCCCTTCACACCTGGAACCTGCAGGGATTCAACCTCTCTGATTAACTCACACAAAGCAGCCCTTGGGCAGGCTGGGGTGGGGGGGGAGCTGAGCAAAGCCCCGCTCTGCTTGCTGCAGACAAATAAAAGCAAGGAGACCCGGCCTGTGATGATTTTCCCTGGCTGGGAGCTGACAGGTTATGAGGTTTTAAGCTCTATTCAAATTTCCACTTTTGTAAATGATTTTGATGCTCCGCTCCAGACTGACTCCAGGGGTATTTATGTCGGATTAGCAATGGATTGCCTGCTTTTCCTCACGCAGTAGAAGAGGGCCCAGCAGATGTAAACTCCCCCTGAATGGAAGCCTATTAATGCTGGAGCAAAACGATTCGTTTGCCATATAAAACTCCCGTTATAAATAAGTGCAGGTTATAAATCAGCAACAGAAAGAGAGTGCCTGCACCTAGGGGTGAGTGTTGGAGGAATGCTCAAAGGCAATTTGAAAGCCATTCTGAACGGGTGACGGTAGCAAAAATAAAATAAAATAGCTCCATACAGCTATTCATACCATTTGAAGTATTAAAATTAACACCAGGTACTTCAGCTTTGTTACTAGGGTGACAGAGAAAGCTGCAACAGCCTCTGTTGTGGTTCCATAGAAAGCCAGGGGGGTGGTGATTGTCAAAATAGAGCTCACTAATTACACAGCTGATTCTGGTTCAGTAATTGTTCCTAATGGTTAAGCCAGGCTGGTATCAATGCAAACTAAAGGCCATGACTTGAGAACTTCAGGTGCACCAAATTTTGTGCAGAAGAGCCAGTTTCCTGCTGTTTTCTAGGACCCAGTAGTTGGTAACCAGGCATTTGGAGTTGAAGCCCTGTAGGATGGAGGGTTTGCATCTGCAGGTTAGTGGTCATTTTATTGTTTGTGTGTTTGTTGTCTGGACAGCAAAGCTCTTGGTTACTGCTCAGATGGCCTCTATCTCTTGGAAGTGGTATTGTGTTCTTATTTTCTCTGTGGCAAGCCCATCTGATTTAAAATAATATTATGGGTTTCTTGGTAGCCCTGAGAGAAGATGAGTGAGGGTCTTTGGTAGGCTCCAGCACCTCATTTGCTGGGCTAACACAAGGTTAATGGGTGCTGGAGCTCACCCTGGTTCCCTTTGGGTATCACTTGGTATCCTTGTACACTAATAGGAACGTTATCTTTGTGGAGAACTCAATTATAAGCTTGGTTATCTCCTGCTAAAAGAGTGTGAGAGCTTTGGTTTCCTCCTGCTGCTGAGAAGGACGTGCCTTTGAAGGAATTAGAGGACCTCAGGCCTTGGGTATTGGCACTGAAGGATCTCGGCTCCCTCTTCTCAGAGAAGGGGTCATCACCCTTCCTGAAACTTTATTGATGAAAATCAGCTGAAAATCTCCCCTGGTGGTGGTGGGATGTCTGTTCTAAGCCTTTCTGGGTGCTGTCTGGATAACTTCTATTGTCTGGGTGTTTTTTTCCCCTTGCATTTTCTTGCTGCCTTCGTGCTGCCAGAGGTGCTCCTCCATCGAAGGTGACCTCAGAGGATGGTATTTCCAGTTTCAACCACAGGCAGGAGCTACTGGAAATGTCATCTCTCTGAAGATTCCAGTCCTGCTTTGCTGTTTTCTGTGGTTTGGATAAATCAGTGTGGATGGATCCTCACCTGGGCTACACCAGTAGTGTTCCACTAAGAGCAGGGGCCATACAGAAGTGCTGGATTGGGATGGCTTATTGCTGGCTCCTAGCCTTGTTGTTACCTTAATTCAGAGAATCTGTAACTGGAATTTCAGGCTCCTACCTCTTTGATCTCTTTCTCACTCCCTTGTGTTGTTGTGATTAATGACAGACTATTTGAAAAATGCTGTGGTGTCTGACTAATGCAGTCAGAGGGGTGTGCAGGGTTCCTTATTTCCTCCCACTGCAGACCTGCAGAGTGACTGGGGAAGAGTTTATTTTCCACTTTGCTTTGCCAGAGCTTCTGAGTGCCTGGGGAGAGGAAGGGGTTAAATTCTCTGCTGCGTTAAAAGGAACGTTTAAATCAATTAACAAAAAAAGATCCAAAGAAAAGAAGCAAAAGTATGTATGGCATCCAAATCCAGCACACGAAAACCCCATTTTGTAATAGAATATATAATGTTGCTTAGTTGGGGGAAAGAAAGATGGACAGGATGCGTGTTGTTTGATAGCAAACCTCATGCTTCTGGGGGTGCTCTTCTCTGTTGAATCAGATGTTGGTGGGATTCAGGAGCCCAAAGCAGTGCTGATTATTTGCATGGAAAGCATCCCTGCAGCCTGTTATTTATGGAGTTGGGCTGTGCTGATGTATTCATTCTTTCCTGTGAAGCAAAGTGACACAAAAAGAGGGTGAGGATGTTGGACAGTGGCACTAGACACCTCAGCGCTGCATCTCCAGGCTCAGTGGGTTACATTCTTCTTTTCTTTCTCCTCAATTTAAGCAAATAGGAGCTGGAGCCTTAAGGTGTATTAGAGAGCAATAGGGATCTTGGCTGATAACAGTGCTCTGGGCTGTGTGTGAGGAAGCTGTTAGCTTAACCCTCTCAATGGACAGGATCTGATAACAGGGCTGGGTGCAGGGGGGGGGAGAGGAAGAACTGTGTCCTGATGTCCACCTCTTATCAGCTGGGGGATGAACCTCAGCCTGCAAGGGTTGTGCTAGGGAAGCTATCTGTAAAAGCTGATGTCTGAGGCCTTCACCTTGCTGCCCAGCATAGTAAGTGCGTGTTGCATGAGAATGGCAAAGGTCTCCCTCAGGAAGTCGCTCTTTGGAAAGCTCTCAGTCCTCTCTTATCACTGTGTCTGAACACGAATATTATTCAACCAGCTCAAAGCCCAGGGGATTACTGCACCTGCTGTGATCTTTGAACTTGCTAGCACAAGTGTCAGTGAGCCTGCAGAGATTGACAGCTCCTCTCCTGCACTGGTAAGGACGAAGGCATGAGCTGAGATGTTGCATCTGCTCTGGATGGTGGGTGCTGGTGTGTGAGGCGACAATAAGGAGCCCACATCTCTCCTGCTGGGCACTTCTCATGTCTGTCTGATATGGCAGGAGGGGAAAGCTGATAATGAAAGGCAGGGAGAGCTCCTTTGCTTGTCTGTACTTGTAACTGAAGCAAGCCACGTGCCGAGTAGCTTTCTAGCAGTGCTTGCCCATGGAGCTGTGGTCAGCTCTGCCTGAGCAGCAGGAGTTCTTGCTTCCTCCATGGGCCGCATGGAGCCATGCTAGAGAGCACAAGCAAAAAAAGTAATTCCCTTCCAGCCCTGTGGTCATTCCTGCCATTTTTCTGCTTGTGAAGTTGAAGCCTTTACGCTCTCATGCCTTCATTTCAGCTCAGCCTTTACCCTTTGCTTTGGGTTAGAAGCTGCGGAGGACGATGGGGACCGTGCCAGGTCCTGGTGAGAAGTCTAAACACTGAGAAATATTTACATTGTTAAGTAACTTCAGTGTTAATATAGCATTACAGAAAGGTGGTGCCTTCCTGAAACTGCTGCAAGAGACAAAACAAGTGGGTGAATGGATATATCACGTATTATAGTACACATTGGTGGTGTCCTGTGTTACTTGATATTGTTACATCAAGGTAATGTTCAGTATCAGAATAACCTGATGCTGGGTTGTGGAGCTCTGCTTTACA